ACAGAGCTCTGAACACGATCTGACTAATTAGTGAATTCTAGAGCACTAGGCTTGTTATTTGGACACTGGGTCATTCCATGGCCCTGCTAAATCCACATTTATCTCAATGTTAATTAAATCAATTAACATTTATGGGTGTTAATTTTCTGATTGTACTGTGAGAATAATAAAATGTGTCACTTTTCTACTTTACAAGTGTGAGTGGATGTTAATTATCTACAATATGTTCCAAGTAGTATAAGGCAGCAATATGTAGAACTACTTAAAACTGAAGAAATTTCTAAAGAGAAATACAGTAAGGAAGAAAAAAAAATTGTGTACTGGCTGAAATGCAAGTTTTAAAAGATGGACAAGATATTTATCCAGTAACTTCTGTAGTTTTAATGCCTTTGATACAAAAAAAAAAATAAAAAAAAATCACAAAATCATTACTAAATGTTTCATGTTAGACAGAAGGTATTCTTTTAACAGTATTGCAAAAGTTCATGAATGGAAGGCTAAGTGTTATTTGTGTTGGCGAGGACACTAAAAAAATATGGGCACTTCCTATTTAAGGCAAACATTTCAAGAACAGACCAGATTGCTCAGCTCTGATTTTTCAACTAAAATGAAAATGAACAGTGGGTGCCTTCATTTTTCTTTGGGGAAGGGCACTGGTCAGAGAACTCCCATCATTCCTTTTTTACACAGGATTCTGCATTATTTTCTGGCCTGAACTCTTAGATGTCACTGATTTCACAGCAACTTACTATGATCACATTGTGAGTAACTGGCAAGCTCTTGATTTATGTACTTAAAATTGAACAATGAACATGTCACATCATAAAGCATCTAGAATTATGTCATCCATTTCCTTGGGGCAACACCAGTAACAATGACATGATAAAGATATTTTACTCTAAAGATCTTACAAAGAAGATATTTAATTTGATTCCAACATTTGCATTGTGGGAAATATTCATGATTCACCTAATATTTATATAGTAACTTTCTCTAAGGAAAGTGTTTTCATGACATGATTGCTTTCAGAGCAGTTAAAAGCGAGCTTTATTAACAGAGAGGTTGCATTGTATTGAATAGCAAGGCTGGAAATAGAGCCCAGGTTGCCTGTCTTTTATGCGGTGTTCTGTGCGACACTTCATTCATTCTTTCTCTGACCAGCAGATGAGTAACTACCATGAGTCAAACACAGTGCTCGACACTGTGCAGAGTGCACGGCTTTGGAGTCTGAGGGCTCTGGTTTTAAAAAACAAACCTAATCCCCCCTGAATGTGTGCATGGGCAAGACCCTTGACCTCTCTAAAGCTTTCGTGTAAGGTGAGGGTAACACCGACCAGACTGGGCTGTTTGGATCGGGCTGCTCTAAGCAGGTGAAGTGTGGGGCACATTACAAAGGCTCAATAAATGCAAAGGAGGAAGAAGAGAAGCAGTAAAACCAGCAGAAGAAAATAGAACTAAATGGAAAAGCGAGGGTGGGATTGTTTGCTCCTGGCCTCAGCTGATTCCCTATAACCACAGTCATCATCCCTCTTTCCTGTCTCCCCAAATCCAAAACGTAACAGCAAGAGAGGTCCGCTCCGGCATTGAGAAAGCCCACCCTTCACCCTAAGCTGGCAGAGCCGGCCACGTGCTTCTGGAAAACCCTTCTTTAAAGTGTGCCTGCCTGCCCGGCCGGGCGTGGCTCAGCGGTTGAGCGTCGACCTAGGATCCAGGCGATCGGGGTTCGATTCCCGTCAGAGCACATGCCCAGGTTGTGGGCTCGATCAATGACTCTCTCATCATTGATGTTTCTATCTCTATCTCCCTCTCCTTTCCTCTCTCTGAAATCAATAAAGATATAATTTCAAAAAAATAAATAAAGTGTGCCTGCCCTTGGCTGCTCTCCTGCCTCTCTCTCCTCCCTGATGCTGGGCCTTTCTTGGCCCCCATCACGTTTCTGTTCTTGATTTTGTTTCCTTCCATTGCCCTTATCTTCTTTACTATCTCTTCTTCATTCTCTTGTCTTTTCAATACAGCTTTTCCTGAAAGGTCCATCCCACGAATTTATTCCTTCTTTCTTTATGTTCTGCTCCCCTATGATCTCGTCCGCTCACAGCTTCAGCAGTTCAAGCCTTGGCCCCACATTGCCGCCGTGCTCCAGGTCTGCGTCCCCAGCCCGCCTGGCCTCCCCTCCAGTGCCCTGCGTCGCTCTGCAGATGCACAGGAGCTTTCACCTGCCCCCAGATCACTCTCTACCCTGTGTGTGCCCATCAACAGCTCTCTTGACCTCTGGCTTCCAGTGATGCTTAGCCAACAGGGAGCCCCGGCGAGGAACCAGGAGGCAGAAGAATAAGGTCCGAAAATGCCTGTCCCCAGAGGTTCCATGCAGCAGCTGCCTCTTTCTACTGAAGGCTGTCTGCTCCACGCAGCCTCTCCTGGGTTCCGATAACGCTTCTGTCCCACAGCACTTTACACCTATGGGTGCTGATGGTCGCTGCTCTAACAAATCCCAAAGAGCAGCCTTAGCTAGCCCTGTGGCTTTTCCTCCTACTATTCACACCTTTGTAAATAGCCCTGAGTTACCCAAATGGAATGTCTCATTTATTTCCCATCTAGACCCTATGTAAACTTCTTACATCTTTACTTTCTGATCCCCTCTCAAGAATTCAGACATTAGAGTAGCACAATAATTGCACAGCCCATCTTCTCCCCTCTTACCTCTCTCTACCCAAATTTCTGCCAGACCACATTTCTAAAACCACAGCACCAGACCTACTCTTCTTCCCATCCACCACTTTCAGAGGCTCTACATTTCCAATGAAATAAATTTGGGGTACCTCACCTAATATTTAGACCCTTCTGCAGTAAGGCCACCTTGTCTTTCTAACTTTATTTCCCACCACTGCTCCAAGTATACTTTAAGATCCAAATGCATCCGCCTATTCACTATTCCAAAATATAGACCACTTTCCCCAGGCACAGCTTTGCTCATGCTTTTCTTTCTCCAATCTCTTTACTCCCTGCCCAACAAAATCCTACCCTTTCATGTCCATCTTAAATGTCATTCTTTTAACGAATCTCAATTACATAACCTGGTGTCTCCTCTTCAAACCTCGTATTAGTTATTTTTACTTTTCTTATTTCCTTGTTCTTAATTACAATGATTTGTGTTCTATCTTACCTTCACTAGTGAATTATGGGTTTCTTGAAAACAAGGTGCATGTCTTGTCCCAGTTTTATAGATGCCTTATACCATAATGCTTGTAAAATAGAGGTTGAATTGAAATGAAAAGTTAAATAGTTAAAATTTTTATGATTATCATAGGTTAAATGTATTCCCAAGACCTTGTGCTACTAGCCAAAAGTTATAGAAAATATCCTATATATTATGCAAATATGTTAGCTTATATTTTTGACCCTGGTCTTGAGACAACATATATCTCTTTAGCATTTGCATAAGTGTGTCATTTTTTTGTTTTTCTATTGATAGATTTTATCTATGTATACTAAAGGGGTGGGGCAGAATATCTTCATATATTTTATTATTGCACATCACATACAACAAGGAATTATATGGGATGTCGCTGTATTGGATTTTGTACTATATGTCAGGTAGGAAGCTAGGGGGAAAGTACTATCACAAAGACTAAGCTAAATGTCAAAAGTCCAAAATGACTTGAGATGGAAGGGCAGTATCTACTGACCTACTTGCTACCCCATGTATACTAGGTCATTGCTGCTCAGAATCAGGGCAGAGCAAGAATAGAACTTTCAATTTCCCAACAAGAAAGGAGAAAACTGCATTCAGCTGAACTCCAGTGCAGCTCTTTCATTTTCATGTTAGCCAGATTTCTGGCAGCTGGCTCAGCATAACAAAACAGAATACTAGAGGGTCTGAGAGATGAGATGGTTAGCTCATTCACCAATTTATTCAATTACTCATTATTCCTCTACAATGTGCTTGGGGAATAATAAAGAAATAAAACTATAAAAATAATACAGAAATGCTTCAGGGAACTCACAGTCTAGTTGGAAAGAAAGAGGGTTCAATTCCCTCACCTTAAAAAAGACATCTAGACAAAGACTTTTTCATACTTCTGCTTACTTTTTGTTGTGATAAACAAAATATTAGGATATAATATGTATGATATAAACATTTTTAGCTGTTAAAAATTTTTCCAAATGATATCTAACACAGAATTCCATTATATAAAATAAGTGACATATACTTATATATTATATAATACATCATTTAATATATTTGTTATAATATATAATTATAAAAATGATAAATTAGTTCCTTGGGCAATTATAAGTTTAACTGTTAGGTGAACAATACTATGCTGTTTCATAGTCCTGAAGCATCTCCATGGGGACATCGTGATCCCAAGAGCAGGGTTTGAACCCTGTTCCACTCTTCCATGTGCCTCTTTGATCACTTCAGTAACAGCCCCTGGGAGTGGGGGTGCTACTTCCTCTCCCTCAGTACAGGGAGTCTTCATGAACACTTCAGTGGGTTTTTATTTGTTTCTTAAATCAACACACATACACTAATGAGTATCTTGAATAAAGAACCCCACAGTAGGTTTCTACTGAGTCCGTGTGAATGATGAGCCCAATAATTCAGAAGAATGTGAATTTGAGAGCAGTGGTGAAATGTTTGATCTGGCCCTTAGAGAATGAGCACAATACAATACAAAGGCCTAGGTGCCACATCAAATTAAAAATTGCAGGGGTTTTGTCCTTTAGGAAACTAAAGACCTATTCTGGCCTTTGTTTAAAAACAAAATCCTGACATGGACCAGCTTTCATTTACTTTTTCTGTCTCATGCAGAAGGAATACAAAGCTTCCTTTGGCAGGGTGGACGTCCTCAATGACCTAATTGAATGTCAGCAGCAGTGACTCCCCTGAGAGGATACTATTTCAGCTGAACAACCTTTAGTGACTTTCTGGCTTCCTGAGGGCCAGACCTAAAACAGTGACAGACCCTATTTGTGCCTAGTTTCTGAAAATAGCTTACCTGAATCCTTAGTTTTGATCTAACATAGAGAATAGTCATTCCACCTACGGAGCTACATCGTCACCCAAAGGAGAGCTCGGTGTTGCCTGAAGAGTCTGAAAGGAGAGCAAGGAAAAGATGTTCAGATGAGTAATAGCAACACACATAGTGAGAAATGGACAAAATGGGTTTTAACTCATTGTTCTTAGTAAAGAAAAATAGAGGAGCAATGACATTTCTAAGTAATACCTAAAAAGAGAATAAAAAGAGAAAATAATGTGTATTAAATATGAGACTAAACAAATCAAAGGAAAATAGAACAGAGAAATTGCACTTGGCACACTGCCTAAAAAATGTCAACCAAAGCAGGGGGAGCAGAAGCTTGATTGACATTTTATGCCTAGCCTGTGAGCTTTCCTAAATTCCCTTTCCTATACATTTTTAAATCAAACTCTTGTAGTCAAGGACCACTGCTACAACATGCTGTGAAAACAAGACAGAAAAAAAGATTTAATGGCCAGAAGCTAATATAATAACTGCACGGGAGAATAAGAGGTTTGGACAAAGCAAACTACTCGACTGCAGAATAATCTCCTAAAGGTATAAGTTAATCTTTTCATCATCTTATTGGAACAAAGGAAAAGTTGAAACATATGTACCAGCTACTGATCTTTCATCCTAAAGATCTGGTCTATCCCTGTAATTGCTTCAAGAACAGCTTAATTCAAAGAGAAATAAAAATATAATAACACTAATGACAAAAATCAAAGTGTCTTATTTGTTAAGCAGAAATAATCACAAAAGATGTTTGAAAGTGTCATCTAAGAACTGAAATCAGTGCAGTGGTCTCCTTCTAATGTTCCTTCCCTGGTCTGTATAGTGGTCTGCAGCCACGCTATGAAAATCTTGTGCCAGAAGAGTTGGCTGGCCTCAGTTGAAACCTCTGCCTCTGACACCAAGTGTGACTACAGGTACATAGGCTGAATTGTGTCCCTCCCCACCATGAAATTCATGTTGAGGTCCTAACCCCCAGTACCTTAGAAGGTGACCTTATTTGGAATAAAACTGTTATAGATATAATTAGTTAAGATAAAATCATACTGCAGTAGGGTGGGCTCCTAATCCAATATAATTAGTATGTTTATAAAAAGAGGAAATTTGAACACAGACATGCACACAGGGAGAGCACAATGTGAAGAACAGCCATGCTGCCGCAAACCACGCAACTCCCAGAAACTAGGAGACAGGCCTGGTACTGACTCTTCCCTGAAGCCTTCAGTGGGGAGCGTAAATGAGTCAACACCTTGATTTCTGATTTCTAGCCTCCAGAACTGAGAGACAGTACATTTTTTTGTTTAAACCACTCAATTCGTGATATTAGAAACTAATACAGCAGGGTTGTATCAATTAAATCAATTACTATAGACTGTTTACTGCCAATCTCACTCTCATGGTAGGAAAGTCATGAAAACTGGTCAACTTCAGGATAATTAGTATCTACCTTATATTAAAACCTATGGGTGAAGAATTGTTCAATGACCAAACTACTCAAGACTAAACTGTATTGTTGAATTAGAATATTAATAAGTGATCTCACTTTGCAAAATTTTTGAAATACCTAAAATCTTAGAAAAAGGAGTATCTACGTTGCTTAAATCCTTAATTACTATACAAGCACATGTTTTGTTTTTGTTTGTTTTTTGGTGTGGATTTTTTGTTCTGTTTTGTTTTTTGCCTAAAGATCATTATTGGAGGATCAACTTGGAGAGTTGAAGAATGAAATGGCAAAGCCCAGTCAGCTTCTACAGTATCTTTCTAGATCCCTGGGTGACAATAGGGATTAAAAGATTCTAATTATGAACCACTAAAATTATGCCTTATAAATAAAATAGTAGAAGCAAAATAAATGGATGTGCAATCTCAAAGTAGCAGATAGTGGGCATGTATAATGAAGCATGTCAGACCTGCTTATAAACCACCTTGATCTTGGATTTCCCAGCCTCCAGAACCGTGAGAAGTAAATTTCTGTTTTTCATAAGTCACCTAGTCTATGGTATTTTTGTTATAACAGTCCCAATGGACTGAGACATTCCCTCTACTCCCATTACCTGACAATCACTGATCTGTTTTCTGTCCCATGGTTTTGCCTTTTCCAGAATGTCACACAAATGGAATCATTCAGTATATAGCCATTTGGGACTGGTTTTTTTCATTCAACACAATTAATGTCTTTGAGATTCACCCACATTATTGCATGTTATCAATAGTCCATTTCCATTTTATGGCTGAGTAGTGTTGCATCTTATGGATGTGTCACAGTTGGTTTATCCATTCACCAGCTGCTAGACATTGGGTTGTTACCAATTTGGAGCTATTATAAATAGAGTTGCTATGAACATTAGTGTACAGTTTTTTCATTTCTCTTAAATAAACTACCTAAGAGTGATAATGCTGGACCTTATTTTAAGCATATGTTTAACTTCATAAACAACTGCTAAACTGTTTTTCACAGTAGCTGTACTATTTTCCATTCCCATCAGCAATATATTAGCATTTCAGTTGCTCCACATCATTCCTAGTGCTTGTTACTAGCAGTTTTGTTTCTGTATTTTAACTCTTCTAGAATGTGTGTAGTGGTATCTCATTATGGATTTAATTAGCATTTTCTTAATGACAAATGCTACTTAAAATTGTTGTATGTGCTTATTTACCATCCACATCTCTTCTTGCTGAAGTGTATATAATTTTTAAAACTTCGGTTAGTTCAATTTTTATGATTGTGTTTTAAGAAGGTTTTTTTAATATTCTGGATCATAGGCCTTTATAATAGTGGTAAAGATTTGAAGATATTTTACTTAGTAACTTGTTTTTTCTTAACTATGCCTTATAGAGAGAAGTTTTTTATTTTGATTAAGTCAAATTTATCAAATGTTTCTTTTATGGATCATGATTTTGGTGTCATATCTGAGAAAACTTTGCTTAATGTGAGGTCACAAATATTTTCTTCTATATTTTCTTCTGGAATTTTATAGTTTTAGGTTTTACATTGAGATCTATGATCCACTTTGAGTGAGTTTTTTAAATTGATGTAAGGTATGGATTGAGATTCTTTTTTGGTTCATATGGATGTCCAGTTGTTTCCAGGGCCATTTGTTGAAAAGCATCCTGGATTTCTGGTTTCAGCTCCAACATGTAAGAGCTTGGAAGACACCACTCCCATCCTCATAACAAGAAAATAAAAGCTCAACGAACCAAAAAACAATGACTTTTGTTCGACCTAACAGAGAATTGAAGTTGCAGGGAAAACCACCACCCCTGAAATCTGAAGAGACAGACAACCAAGTACAGAGAATCACAGCAGGGCTCTTCTTACCTGGAACAGAAGCCATAGGACCATAAGCTGGTAGGAACATTTAAATGGTAGCTTGGACTAATTACTGGAAGTTGAATGTGGACTAACATAAAGATGAGAAACTCCACAGGGCCAATGTATGGGGAGGGGCCCACTCATGTGGATTTTACCTCTAGAAACCCTACCAGTTCTCACAGAGAAAACCCAGGAAGGAATAGGGCACTGTGGTTAGAGAGCTTTGCTGAACCTAGCACCTTTTCATCTGTACATCTTTAAGATATTTTTTAGCCTTTCTCAAACTTGGGGGGTTTGTTGTTTACTTTAGGATTCACAGCTGTTTCTTCTAATTAAAGAGTAGATAGTTTTTTTATAGTTAAGAAAAGAATAATTAAGAAATCAATAATTGGAATGTTAACTGTTCTTATTTGGTTGACAGCTACAGGCCAAATGTCTATCACCATTTACAATTAAAATACTTATGTGGTATAAAAAAAGAAATGGAAGTATAAATTACCATATCCATTAGAATTTATCAAACATCTAGCCATCTTTTAAAGGGACTTATCAAAATTAATTTTTAAATAACAACCTAATAATAATGATAGTTTATTAGTTTAAATTTAATTGTTTGTTTCTGAAATGTTTTTTGTAGAGGAAAAGTAGAATTCAAAGTACATCAGTTAAGGTTAAGAAATGCACCTCTAAGCCAGGAAAAGGGATTCTAATGAGTCTCTGAATGTAAAGTTCATATTCTTCCCACTTTCTGTTTTGTTCCCATACTACAACTAAATCAAATGATCCACATAATAATAATAATAATAATAATAATAATAATAATAAAATGACAGTATCAATTCTAGAAATATACAATAGAAATAAGTACACTCACTGCAAAATTCATTCAACTTTGTTGTATATTTGGAAAATTTCAAAATAAAATGTTACAACCAGGGTTGAGGGAAATACCTGGCAGTTTAAAAGATGCAAGGAGAAGGTAAGCACTAGACATTGAGGTCAATGTGTTGCTGCAGAGGACAGCAAAAGGCTCAAAGGCCTATTTTCCTAATAGGCACCTTCTCCACGGTACCAAAAAGACATGAACACCTTTTTCCATTGAAACATCTATAGCTCTATAAAGCGCATGTTAAAATAAAGATATGTTTCTTGGATTAAGATCACACCTTAAAAAATTTAAATCCATGGACTTATTATGCTCATGACATCACCATGACTCTGGAAATCACAGAAGAGGGCCCTGGAATAATGAGATAAGGAAAAGAAACACTTTGATACAGAATGGCAATAATAAAAAGAGCTTCACATCAACACTGTGCCTACTATGTTACAGGCATTGTTCCAAACACGTAAGTAATCAATCATTTAAACTTCTTACCCACCCAATGAAGTAGGTATTATTATATCATATCAGTGATACCAGCAGTTTGATTCTAGAGGACACACTCTTAGCCACTGTACTATACTGCCTTTCTGAGGTCAGTTGCTATCTCTTTGGCATACATGGAGCCCCTGGAAATCTAGGAAATGATAGAAAGCATTGAAAGGGATGGTGGTCAGGGTCGGGGGGTAGGGAGAGGGGTTAATGATGAGGGGTGCTTGAAAATAAACAGAACCTACCTGATAGTGCTTCAGTTCTCTCCGAAGCAATGATAAAAGAAGAAAGTAAATAAGATATATTCAAGATGTTTTATATAAAATAAGTAAAGGAAACAGGACATAAAGCCAATAAGAAGAGAGGGA